GAACAGTTAGAATCTGATATAGTTCAAGTAAACGAACTTTTCACAACACTTGCTACATATATTCACGATCAAGGAACATTAGTTGATTCTATTGGAGATAATATAGAAGTAGCTTATGAACAGGTAGGTTTTTTGCAGTTTATGTTCATAAAGTCGTTACTTTTACGTGATCCCTGGTGAAAATAAGTACATACACTGTCTAAAATTCATTTTGAATGTTATAGTGTTAAGTTGGTTACTAAGTCATGAAGTGACCCACTATCATCTTCAGTTTCCCAGGTGATTGTGATATTCCCACTTGATGTTTAATAAACGACTACAGTTAGTAGTTGAAAAAATAATATGGTATGGTTCGAAATCGGTCTCCAATCTATAATCGCCTATAGTCTGAGGACTCTTAGTAATTCCTCTGCCTAACATAAGCGGTATTAGAATATGTTTTTGCCGGGAACATTTTGAAAAATGACAAGATTTTACATAGTTCGTCATCTTAGAGCCGTCATTCACTAGGCATACTACAAACTGGTCAGAAGTTTCGGAAATTGATAAGTCCTGCAAATTGAACGCTAGATATTGGTTTCCTAAGCTATTCTGTAACCCCCAAGCTAGAACTATACAGAGCGACCTGAACAATGAGAGAGAAGACGCAAAGTATGCGAGAAGTACTTTACTCCAAGGCTCATTTCAATACAGAAAATATAGGGTTTTTATAATATTTTAAATGTCCTTGAGTTGTTCGAAGATTGTGGAATGCTACTAAACATAGTAGCAGTATAGCAATCAGTCAATCAGAACCTCTACATTTGACGTTTCACTTCCTTGATATTTTTGGCTAAAACTTCAAGTGAACGCTGATTGGAAGAAACACTTCTTAGTGTTTTTCTGATGCTGGCTTGTCTTCTGCAGTAACTATACCTCTAAGGTTCTTTATCATCATCCAGATTTACCATTTTTCATATGATGTGCATTTATTCAACTTTGTTAACAGTTTACATTTATTTTTTAGGTTCAAAGTGGTACAGAACAATTAAGCACTGCTACAAAACATCGAAAATCAGCACGACGAAAAAAGTGCATATGTCTTGGTCTTATATTATTGATTTTATTTATTTTAGCTTTGGCAATAGGATTATCTTTAAGACAATAAATAATTCTCAAATTGTTGTCATTTGGTTTTCATGTTTATTCTCATAAACTATTTCATTCTATCACTAAGTTGATTTTGTTCGAACATACTTTTAACTTTTACAGAAATCAATCGCTTAATGTCTTTCATAATTCATCTTTATTGAACTATAATCTTTCTTTATTATCCTTCATCATTTGGTGATGATCTGATATTCTTATGTGAATTTGATTGTATAGTCACAAAGTTATACAAACCAGTGATTGTTTGCTTCTGTGATTTGTATCATGATGGGATAGTAGGAAGATTTTATTTCCTCGCAGATAATGTTAATGTTTAGTGATAGTCAAACCTTCAAAGTATCGTATTTTGTTATTTAGTAAATGTAAATTGTATTTGTCAACGTTTCAAAAGTTGGAAAGTAAAGTTGATGTTGAAACTTGTATTTACAAAACGCTGCTTTCTCCCTAGTCATTGTGGATTGAAAATGTGCCAGGGGTTTTGTTACGTGAGAGAGTCTTCAAAGTTTGAAATTAAACATGAAGACTTGGGGACTGTTACAATACTGGATATACGACAAAAGACGAAGACGCGATGTGATAACTGTCCTCAACTGAACTGATACCGAATGACAGCTAGTAGGGATAATCCTAAAAAAGCGGGGTGATATATAAAAAGTGCTAGAAGTCATCTGACGAATAAGTAATCGCAACATTCAAGTTTCTTATCTCACTCAGTTTCCTAGATAATTAGAACCTGATTGTTAGACTTAATTTTTGCCGAAATATCTACTTGAAGTGGTCAAGTTGCAATTAAAGGAAACAAATATGACCTCTGATCTTGCTGCCTCGTTCGATTGTCCTGGGTAAGCATTCTTGTTTTTCATACACAGATGGTCTGAGAAGTTGACTGATCTTACAAATGACATCAACCTAAAGTAGTTCACTAATCTCAACTTGTGAACCGTGGTGGGTCAGTAACTTCCCATATATGTATCTCAGTGATACAATTAAGCTTTTATTCACCGATATTCCGGTTTCTTTAGCCTTGGTCTTGCTTAATACAAACGAAAACGTTCTCTAGTGAGTCCGCCTATATTAATCCAGATGTAAATGCTTTCACTGAGAGTGCGAGCAGCCTCGCTCATCTTTTTATTAGTAATGACACGGAAATTATTGTATTGAATGTGATTTGGTAACTGATGTGACCGCTCCCCAACAAAATCCAGTTACATTCTGTTCGTAGTCCTCCCGATTATTGTAGCCCTTTACAACATCTTGTTAAGCATTACAATCATTAGGACAATATACGTACAAACAAACATATAATTCAATAATGAGTTACTTGAACTCGTTTATCGATTTTGCAAATTCTATACGAACATTAAATTACTGATCAATCACTGGTTCATTTCGTTCAAGTTTATTGATTGATTGAGTACTCAAAAGGACATGTGATCTACTGTTGTTATTATTATGGATGTCGTTCACGTAGTAGTTGGTGTATCAATAATTTCTCTCCCATAGTCTTGATTTCTTTGTGTCGTCAATATAAGAGTGCTGTTCCGTTGTCATGAGTAATAAACACTTATTACGCAGTCAGTTGTACTAATAGCAATAAACTGTGCTGGCGGTGTGCTTGAATATCTGGACTACTTGTCCCTGTTCTCTAGATGTTTCAAAAAGTTATGTCTCCATTTGTTTTAGCACTATGTCGATTAATCACATAGGCTATTTAGATGAGTTTATGAGAATTTTACGGCATTTCGTTGTACAAGTTACAAAAAAAGTACAATCGGAGACATCATGGTAGTTGGCAATATCCACTGAAATGAATGAACGTTATTCAGATGTCGATTCCTGAACTGCTTACATCTAACTGGTGATCACCAGTTGACAATTCCTACTAAGTCTCAACATGTATCATTGTTGTGATACAATCACAATTCAAGAATTCTAATTGAATTATTTGCAAGACATTTGTTCAGTAACACTACAAAATCTTAATATTTATCGTCATGAATGATCAAGCAATAACATAAGGAAACCTCATACACATAGTTCCCTTTATTATCCTAAAGAGAGCAAGATTTATTTATTTTAACACATAGATATTGGTTCAATGAGGCACCAAATACATAAGCACCACACAGATCTCATTTGATATGTGAGAGGGCTTTGATACTACCCGGGTGCCCAAACCGAAGCAGGTGGTTTTCTTAGTGGGCCACACCCGGAGCCTTCAACCTGAAGGTCTGATCCACAAGGCAATGGAGCATCGTAAGGAGATGCAGTCCCATGGTAGCCGGTGACCAACAATAGGTTCTGTTGTGGATGCGGAGGAATAGACCAATAATTGTTTAGGATATTGAGAAGACGAAGAGCGAGTATCTGGCGCTTTGACCGGGTTAGTGGACACGGAGAATCCACCTAGGGCAGTTGGAAAACCCTTATTCAAAATCAATGGTGCACATGTTCTCCGGTATCCTGAGGGGACAAATGGATTATGAACCTGTTATGACGGGTGTGACTGCAGGTTTTGATAAGCAGCGTTTATTGATCGATTCGGTGACAGCGTCACGGTTAACACGTAAGGGACGACCTAGTGCCCTGATTGGCCCTGCTTCGCTGTCTGTCCTAGTTAGTTGAGTCCAGAACACAAGCCACAGCCTCGGAGATATGAATCATTATATTTCAAACATACTTTGTTTATATACCAATCAAGCATACCACATCGTACCATAAAATAGAAAACAACATTTTGTACAATATTCAACGAGTGAACAGATACCGACCAATAGAAAATGTCCATTTCAAGTCCAAGGACACCATTGGACTTAACGAGAAGGCAGTTAGTAGGACTTCTCTGTCAGAGGCTATAATCGCGTGGTTATGTGAGAGCATTTGGAGAGGGAGAGCGGACTCTCGGCCGTAGCAGGGCATTCGGGGGCAAGAAAGAATAATGAATTGATTCATTTTATTTCGTTACGCTCTCATCAGCTGCTTACAACCTTTAATATTTGAAAACGAACGTTATTACATATATCGACATACTTAGACGTAAAATAGTGATCAAAGATGAATATGTGTATCATGATGTAACGAAGGTGTCAATCGAGTTAATAAGATCATGAAAAACCTTTTGTTTCGGAGAAATAAAGTTTGGGAGTGAAAGTTCCAGAACATTGAATTAATGATTAGAACTCATGGAGTTAACAAACATTAGATGATTGTGTAATGAACTAACTGAAATGGTAACAAAGAAAGGTATGAATTGAAGAAAAATGGAGTTGGATTGTTTGTGAATCACGTTGAGGGACTTCAGTGTATCGACTTCATGTCCTGTCTCCTAGAACTTTCCCTCCCAAACTTTATTTATTAACTCTATTGAAATCTTCGTTACATTATGACATATATTCATCTTTAATCACCCCCTTATGTATAAGTATGTCGATATCTGTAATAATGTTGATTTTCAAATATTACACGTTGTAAGCAGCTGATGAAAACCTGACAAAATAAAATGAATCCATTTATTATTCTATACCAATTATTCATTCTTGGACTCTCTAAAGAGGAAACCTGCTGAATAACTTTATACTGACAATTCTAAATTGATATCAGAAGGCGTTTTGTGGATATTGTAGTAATTTCAATGGTTGAGATCATGAGTCAACTGAAGTTAGACCACTGTGGAAAACCTGGAAGGCCATTTCGTCCTATTGTAGGACTCCTTAAACAATGCGCATCCACAATACCGCCTCGCCAGATTCGAATACAGGACCTAACAATCTCTGATGCAAACGCTTAACCTGTAGACCGGCATTCAAACGGTGTTATTGTACCAAAAATAGAATATAATGAATAAAGCCATTAATAATAATAATAACTATATCAAATCCAAGTCACATTAATAACATACAACGTGGATAGTACAGTGAGAGAACATATACATATGTATATATCAAATTTTGTTCTCCCTATCAACAAAATAAACAATAATCTTTATTTCTAACAGAAAATTGTAACAAAATAAGATTAGCAATTAAAATATACCTTGAGACGGATAATACTCATCCTATTAATATGATAATAATAACTGAATAATACAAAAAGATCATACAAACCATATAAAATAAACAAATATGATTTGGATTCCAGAAGAATTTGTTCATATATAAATAGAAAAAACAAAAGGGGGGAACAAACCCACTTAGTGACAATAATAAATTTCAATGAAAGACTAACATTTTTGGCAGTTTTAGAAAAAAAAGTGGGCGGGGGTGGATAGGGGAAAGTGAGCAGCCAGAAGATTTCGGTCAAATTGTACATAGAAAAACTGTGAACACTGTACATCTTTTGTTTGATTACGGATACTACTCATTGGCGAATGTTGTTAATTCATTGAGATATATATATATAAGGTACTTTAAGTCAATGGTGAGGAATCCAATGATGCACGTTGAAATAATTCAATTAAATAATTTAAACCATATAGGAAATTTTCATCTTTTATTTGACTACAATCTGTTACTAATTCCCAACGTGTAAAATCAATTAAATATACTAAAACATATTCATCTGCTTCATTATTATCTATGTTGGATATAATTGATTCTTTATTGTTGTCTTGACAACTATGATGATGATCATGATCATGATGATAATATGAATATGGTAACTGGGTGGTGGTGGTGGTGGTGGTGGTGGTTGTATTCGGAGATGGCATGATCTCATCATTGGCATCAACACTATCATAAGCTAATAATAAAGAACTTGCATAGAAATGATAACAATTTTGATTTTCAAACCATTTAGCTAATTGTGTTAATTTTTTAACAAATTGATTAGCTAATCTTTTTGCACGATTTATATCTGGACCAAGAAATAGACGAATACCTTAATAAATAAAAAGTAGAAATATAACAAAAATCGATAAATAGAAATACATATTTCAATGATGAATCGATCCATGTTAGACCATCATTCAAAATGTGGAAGTAATAGACAGTTGTTTCGTCTTAATATGAGACTCGTCAGTTGTATGCGCCCATATCACCGCACGTGGTTTCGTACACGAACGCTCCACCCTTAAACAACTGGGCTGGTATCCAACAGTATTAATCTCTAACTTTAATCAATCTACGATACTCCGAGAACAATTTCCATTGTCTACGCAAGATACTCAACATCCATTGGCGGGATACCATCAGCAACAGACTTCTGTAGGAGAGAACAAACCAGCTTCCAGCTGAAGAAGAAATTAGTCAAAGACGATGGAAATGGACAGGACATACATTACGCAAATCATCAAGCTACATCATGAGGCAAGCTTCGACTTGGAATCCTGAAGGGAAGTGGAAAAGAGGAAGGCCAAAGAACACATTACGTCGGGAAATAAAAGCAGATATGGGAAGGATGAATAACAGCTGGAAGGAGCTGGAAAGGATTGCCCAGGACAGGGTTAGATGGAGAATGCTAGTGAGCGGCCTATGCTCCTTAACGAGGAGTAGCAGGCGTAAGTAAGTAAGTCAATGGGAAAACTACCCAACACTCCGACATGGTATAACATACTTCAAATTACACATACAGTTGATATACTTTATGCCTTAACTAGATTGTATTCAATCAACCAACTTATCTGTAGACAATGAACACATTTGTTTTTATTAAAAAATATACTTGATTGTATGATAGTTTCTATTAGTATAGGCAGTTCATATTTGTCTGGCTGTAAAAGGTCGGATCTACAACGCGTCGGTGAGAGCAGTTTTGCTCTATGCTTGTGAAACCTGGCCTCTCCGAGTTGAGGACGTTAGACGACTCTCTGTATTCGATCATCGCTGTCTCCGAAGGATTGCTGACATTCAGTGGCAACACCATGTCAGTAGTCCAGAGGTTCGGCATCGTGTGTTCGGTCACAGAGATGATAATTCAATTGGTGTCACCATCTTGAAACACCGACTTCGGTGGCTTGGACATGTTCTACGAATGTCATCCCAGAGAATTCCACGTCATGCATTATTTGCCGACTCTGGGACTGGTTGGAAAAAGCGGAGAGGTGGTCAGTGCATGACATGGTGTCGTGGTATGAAAGAAAGCTGCAAAGGACTGGCTTCTGTCGGTCCTTCACGACTCCCTGGTTGGGGTCTGAGAGATGGTGCTACACAGTGGCTAGAGACGTTATCAGATATGGCCCAGAATAGAAGCCAGTGGCGATCCTGCTGTAACCTTCTTTTACTTTCTTCATAAAAAGTGGTTGTGTCTACCTTAACTGATAGATTTCTTCCGATTGTACCTTTGCGTTCCTTCATTATTAGTATTATTATTACTACACTACCTTACACCAACCTCTTCGTTATTGTTCTCTTTTTTTCACGCTCCTTAATTTTTTTGTTCCTTGTCTTTAAATTCTCATTGTTTTGTGTGGCGCATATATATTTGGTGCCCTCTTTTACCAATATTTATGTGTTCAAATAAATAGAATAAATTCTATTAGTATAATTAATCACTGATATTCTTCATCATTCAATAGTAAACTATAATTCTTAACTTGATGAAAATGATTATAATTGTTGCCAATTAATGAATATTCTAGAAATCAAATTGTCTGATTATAAGAATATTAAAATTTAGTCATTAGAAATGAATGATATCGGTTCACAATTAAATGATGTTTATATATAGAAGGTGTTTAGTTTGTCTATGAATAATTGGACCGGTTAAATACTTGTACTAGTAAACAGTAAAATTAAGAATATATTTTCAGTTACAAACATGAATTGTCTTCATTTGTTGACAAGTTGATTATTCTGCATAGACTGATCATTGGTAAACGAACCATTATTGTTCACATGTTAATTGAAATAGAATGATTAATTTGCGTCATTGCTTAGTGATTAGTGTTGAGAAGATAGGATACTGTATTTTTATATATTGATTTGTACATATAAATATTGGTACAAAGGGGCACCAAATACATATGGACCACACAAATCAAGTGATTTGTGTGTGTGGGCTGTGATCCTAAACGGGTTCCCAAAACGAAGCAGGTGGTTTTCTTAAGTGGCCACACCCTGAACCTTCGACCTAAAGGTCTAATCCACAAGGCAATGGAGCAGTGTTATGGGATGCAGTTCCATGGAAGTCGGTGACCAATAATTGGTTCATACACCATTTGTTCGCTCAGGATCGTGGAGCCCATGTGCGCCATTGATTTGGAATGAGGGTTTTCCAACTCCCGTAGGTAGATCCTCCATATCCACCTATCCGATTAAAGCGCCGGACATTCGCTTTTCGTCCTCTCAATTTTGTAAACAATAGTAATGCGGCGGGAAGGCTGTGAGTAGGACTTCCCTGGTAGTGGTTATATGAGCGTGGCCACGTGAGAGCACTTCGAAAGGGAGAGTAGACTCCTCACTCTCGGTCGTACCAGGGCATTGTACCCAATGATAAACTCATTAAACTGAATAAACTAGTGAAAATAATGAGAACGTTGTCAAAATATGACATAAGGAGCTTTACAAAACCTCCAAGTGTTGACGTTCGTTAAATACACATGTTCGTATACATATCTCATTGTGACTTTGTTGGTTCCCGCTTTCTAACTATTTAATAACAATCCTGTTATGTAAACATTTCAATTTATATCATACAACATATTCCCTGTCAATTAAAACAAGAACACTGGATCTATATCTGAAATTCCTTGGAATTATAAATAGATTATCTTATATTCGGATGAGAATAATGAATAATAACTGTTGGAAACTATTTCTGGACTAATACTATACATATTTCCTAATTGTGTAATTGTTATGTAACTAAACTATTCACATTCGTGTTCCTCTTATTAGAGGCTTTATTTTGACCCATAAACTATTATCATATGATTTACCATTCTTGAGTTATGCCCTGTCTATCAATTACTATCTCCCACATTCACAGCCACATTTAGCTATGGTACAATGTGGTTTGATTGATTGGTATATAAACTCAGTATGCTTGAAATATAATGATTCATATCACAGAGGCTGAGATTGGTGTTTTGGACTCAATGGACTAAGCTAATCAGGAATAAGAACTGACAACTACTCTAGACTGTTTGCATAGGTTTTATGGGTCATTGGTTCGGTCGATAAATTACCATTCTCTAACTGGCAATATCACATTGCGTTATACATTGATAAGAGTACAAATCGACAAGTTGTTATAACCTGTGAACATGCAACATTCTCTTTAAACAACCTTTTTCTCTCGAAGAATTGATTGAATTGGTTCATTATAAATTCAATATTAAGAATTAGTTAATGATAAATAAACATGATCTAAATAGTAAATACATCCATATACATAGATTGAATTCTATTGTTATTATATAAACAAAATAAACAATCTAATTACCATTATCATATATTGTAGATGGATTTAATGATCTTCCAAAGAAAATATCAAATGTAGTATATTCATTAAGATCTGGATAGAATACCTAAAATTGAATAGATCAAGTAATTGATTATAAATAATATTGGGGGGGAGGGATTAGCATGAATTGAAATATAATAAAGTTTACTGATATAAATTGTATAGCCCTGAAATTCCCTGGTACAGCCGAGAGTGAGGAGAGTCAGCTCTCCCTCTCCAAATGCCATCACATAACCACGCGATTATAGCCTCTGCCAGGGAAGTTCTACTCACTGCCTTCTCGTGGCGTTGCTGTTGTTTACGGAATTGAGAGGACGAAAAGTGAATGTCCGACGCTTTAACCGGGTTCACCTAGGGCAGTTGGAAAACTCTGATTACAAACCAATGGTGCACATGGGCTCCAGTATCCTGAGGGAACAAATGGCTAAAGAACCAATCGTTGGTCACCGGCTTCCATGGGACTGCATCTCCTTACGATGCTCGACCTTTAGGTCGAAGGTTCGGGGTGTGTCCCCCTATGAAAACCACCTGTTTCGTTTTGGGCACCCGGGCAGTATCACAGCCCTCACACTTAACAAATGAAATTTGTGTGGCGCATATGTATTTGGTGCCTCATTGTACCAACATCTATGTGTTAAAATAAATAATAAATAAGATGATTATCAGATTAGTCTTTGTTTTTGTTACCTTATATAATAGGGAATTGTTGTGTTTTGAATAATCGACAAATATGTCCTTCAATTGAAATGAAAATATGTTAATTAAATAATATTAAAATACATTTTATTTAATTTCAAGATAAATTGGTTGATAAAAATCATTTATCTTGAAAGTCTGATCAGACCTAATGGATTGGGGCTTGATGAAATCTCTGTACAGATTCGAAAATCTAGTTTGGTTATTGAGAATTTACGTCACCTATAGCGAGGGCGAGATATCTGTCTATCAATTAAGGGGCAAGTATACTGCGCGGCAGTACGTTCTGTCCTGTTTTATGGCTGCAAAACGTGGCCATTAAGAGTAGATATTTATAAGCTACTAGTATTTGATCACAGATGTCTTAGAAATATTTCTCGCATCTGCTGGGATCACCAAGTAAGTAAGTTACTATCGACGAATCTAGGTGGATAACCGTTTCTGATGAGAGTTTGTCGAAGTTGAATTAGTTCCTCATCTATTGTGTCAGTGGAACAGATTCGCCTGATCCTAGAGGATAAAGAGTGAATTACGTTCCTCTCTACTCAACTTAACACCTAGAATTCATCATGAGAAAGTATCGACAGTACAAAAGAAAACCCATTTCATGAATATGGAATTTAAAGGAGACACAGCTGCTGGAATTTTAAATAAAAAGATTCCAAAATCATTGAATAAAACTTTCTACACAGCGAAGCTCCGAACTGTTTTTCTCAAGTTGCCCTACCATTTCTGGATGTGTTAGAGATAAACTTCCGCTTTGGGTCACATCAATGTGTATTTATAAATTTACCTGCTCATGTGGGGCTCGTTATATAGGCCGAACAAAGCGATCACTTTCCAAACGCATCTCAGAACACTATCCGGCTTGGCTCTTAAAGGGAAAATGTAAAACAATTACTAGTTCGATACAGGAGCATTGAATTAACTGTGGACACATCGCTCCAAAGGACTCTTTTTTTAAGGTAATCTACCGAGTCAAAGGAACTGTGATCGAAGAAGGGTCGAATCAATATTTCAAGCACTGCTGAGGCATTGGCAATCCATGAACTTAAACCTGAACTTTGCGTGCAGAAACGATTTGTCCAACTTTTCATCCTTCCTAGCCCCTAATTCCCTTAATGGGTATGTTTCTGGGGGTTTTTTTCTGCACTTTTATGTGATTATTATAGAATTTTTTAAATTACTGTTTTGCATTTTAAACTCTAATCAGCGATTATTATTATTATTACGTTATACAAGTTTTCTTGATTATTATCCAGTCTATTATTATGACCATTGTGTTTGTCGCTTTTCTTCATATCGGTCAATTGGATTATTATCTAACCCCTTGATTAGTACACGTAACCTCATTTGTTATTTAGTCTCGGATTCATTTTGGTGATGCAATTTTCTCTATCCTCCCACAAACAGATATTTTCTATATATAACTATATATACGAAAGTACAGTTTAAATAAATGGATTTCATGGAGAAGAGAAAATTTTCTTTGCTGAATTCTCTTTTTCTTATTCAATGACACGATGGGTTATTCTAATTATCTGAATAGCATACAATTTTCGTAATAAATACAAAGAATAGTAACAACTGTTATTTATTTATTTGAACATATAAATACTGGTACAAGGGGGCACCAGATACATATGGACCACATAAATCTCATTTGATTTGTGTGGGGGCTGTAATACTGCCCGCGTACCTAAAACGAAGCAGGTGGTTTTATTAAGGGGTCACACCTGGAGCCTTCGACCCAATTATCTAATTCACAAGGCAGTGGAACAACGTAAGGAGATGCAGTCCCATGGTAACCGGCGACCAACAGTAGGTTCATAATCCATTTGTCCCCTCAGGATACCGGAGAACATGTGCACCATTGATTTTGAATAAGGGTTTTCCAACTCTCCGTGTCCACTAACCCGGTCAAAGCGCCAGATACTCGCTTTTCGTCTTCCCAATACCCTAAACAATACCCCCGCCACGAGAAGGCAGTGAGTAGGACTTCCCTGTCAGAGGCTATGATCGCGTGGTTATGTGAGAGCATTTGGAGAGGGAGAGCGGACTCTCGGCCGTATCAGGGCATTTGGAGGCAAGAACGTAAATTGGTGAAGAATAATAAATGGATTCATTTTATTTCGTCACGCTGACTCTCCCCACTCTCGGCTGTACCAGAACATTTCGGGGGTAGTAACAAATGTACTTTTGTATTGAACATAATTAAATTAAATTAGAATAGAAATAAAATAAATTAACTAATCTTACTTTTAATCCAGTTACTAGAAATCCAATTTCTTCACGCCATTTATATTTTGCACATTCAATCATTATTTTTGATGGTGAAGAATCAGGAGCATATGTACGACGACCCATTTTTAAATCGCACAATGATGGATGTTTAAAATTAGCCAATAAATCTTTTAAACCCAAGTACAAATCTATCTTGAGTTGAATTTTTTTTAAATAAGAAGCGAGTGAAAGGAAAAGAAAAGAGAAAAACATTGAAAATACTTAACAGGTATGAATTTAGGGTAACAGTTAAATCTTCAGAAAATGGAACCACATAATAAATAATCAGGAATTGATAAAAATCTAATAATGTTAAACATCGGATTATACCTGACGACCTTCAAGTTGTGTTCGGTTTTAAATGACGTCTAACGCTGACTACTTTTTAACATTCTAAATGTATAGAATCCCCATTAACGATCAAATTCATGACTCACAACACCAGAGACAGCCAGGCATATGCTTCCAAGTGTGTAGCTACTTGTTGGAACTTTCTTAGGAACATGATTCTCCTAAGTATAAAGATGCTTGATTTGTATCAGACGATATAGATTTCTTATATTTTTAGTTATGAACAAGAGGTTCTCTATTACTGTTAGAATCATCAGAGGTTGTCACTTCCCGGTCATTTATACCATGGAAAGATACACTTTCTTAAAGAACTTGTTAAGGAAACTGGATTAGTAGTAGCTTTAGCAACCTGAGAGATTGACAGCAGATACCAAGGGATAACTACTTGAGGCAAGTCATGCTTGGCCATATTACGAGGTTTTGATGTGTCAGCTACGTACTTCAAAGGCCTTACCGCCGAATACGGAAATATGTGGAGTAAAATTTCCAAAGTCAACCTGTTCTAACTCCTCTCTTCTGTTGGGTAAAGGCAGTATTGCTGTAGATACTGATTATCTAAAAGAAACACCTCACTGTCGTCACACTCCAGTACAGTCGTCAATACCAATTCGCCCTCAAGTCCAATGGTTGATAACTGGTTGATAAGACTTAATAACAAAGTACTCTTTGCTTAAAGGTGAGTTATACTAGTAGGCTGTCAAAACTGAAGCAGGTAGAGTGAAGTTTGAACTTGCAATCCTATAATTGAGTGTCGAGTGATTTAACCCTTATGTTACTTCTTTATTGAGAGACCATACGGGAAAGACAGACAATATAACAACAATACAAGACGTGAGAGATACAACAGATAAATAAAGCAAATAAAGCTATAGTTGATGGTTTAGCTATTTGACCTGTGGGTTTAAATGTTCTAACATTTACTAAGGTGTGAAATGTACCTCAAATAAACAAAGAAACTCATATTCTTACGCATACGCATACGTATGGTCCCTGACCACTCATTTTTAGATCCCTTAACTTGACAGTTTTACTCGGCAATTTACAAGTCCTATAAGAATGGAAACATAAACTTCCCTACTGAGATTTTCAGGACAATAATAATTGTCAGGAAGATTTGAAATCTGTACAAGTGAATAGCAAGTATTACTGATCAAACTGCCACTATATTTCTGAGTTTTGCTTTTTTCTATGTCTCTCCTCTTTCAATCGTTTGTTAAAGTCTAATGCTTTTCCAGTCTTCATTTCTCTGATGCCTAATGTTAAGACAATATGCAGAACTCTAATATTAGTTGCTACCCTATAAATGGTGTAAAACTCTTACTAAGTCTGTTTATCAGTTATTAATAAATAACAATTCCTCACCAGTTCACTTTTCTTAATATTCATCAATAGTATATCATTTAAATAGTATATAAATTTAACAGCCCCCAAATGCCCTGGTACAGCCGAGAGTGGGGAGAGTCAGCTCTCCCTCTCCAAATGCTCTCACATAACCACGCGATTATAGCCTCTACCAGGGAAGTCCTACTAACTGCCTTCTCGTGGCGTTGCTGTTGTTTACGGAATTGAGAGGACGAAAAACGAGTATCTGGCGCTTTAACCGGGTTAGTGGACACGGAGAATCCACCTAGGGCAGTTGGAAAACCCTGATTACAAACCAATGGTCACATGGGTCCCAGGATCCTGAGGGAATGAATGGAGTATGAACCAATTGTTGGTCAACGGCTTCCATGGGACCGCATCTCCTAACATTGCTCCACTACCTTGTGGATTAGACAATTAGGTCGAAGGCTCCAGGTGTGACCCCTTAATAAAACCACCTGCTTCGTTTTGGGCACCCGGACAGTATCACAGCCCCCACACAAATCAAATGAGATTTATGTGGTCCATAGGTATCTGGTGCCCCCTTGTACCAGTATTTATATGTTTAAATAAATAAATAAAATTTAATACATTAACAAATCTATGTATATTAACTCACGTTTTTGTTCAGAATCTCGATAGAGGCCATAAAAATCAGGCACAAATTTTCGTAACTCAACTAAAACGGAATCATTACAATTTGGATCGAATAAACGTTGATAAAATTCTAATTCATGTGGACCTTTAGGATAATGTTGTATTGGTTTATAAATAGTTGATTGAACATGTGAATATAATACTAGGATATTTGAGAAAAGATGAAGAGAATAGAACACAGAATAGCACATTAGTAAATTGAATTAGTAACAATTATAAAAAAATAGAAAGTTCTAATTATGTAGCTAGTCCATACTCCATTAACTATGATATAAAATGAAGATTTTCAATGGGTGATAATTTACGTACCGGTAGAAAATATTAAGATATAACTTGATATAGAATAAAATAAATGATATTAGGTCATTCAACTGAACGATGGAGTGGTACTTCCAAAACTGTACAGAAATCGAGACTAAACATTAGAAGATGCTGTTGGTTGTGTTGTTTAACAAACAGTAAGTGATAGTTCAATATTATGTGAAATTTAATATTTTTATGGTTAAGTGAGTTGGAAATCTTCTAAGCATTTTAGTAAACATAATTTTAAATCATCTCCTCGTTGACTCTATGCAGAATCTGCCAGCATGATAATGACAAAACAGTTTACTCATATCTCGTTTACTTGGTAATTAGTGTTAGCGTACTTTTTATTATCATCGAGTTCAAAATACGTTTATAAGTCTGAAGGAAGACTGTTACTGCGCTAACTTTTACTGATGAACAGCTAAAAGTTGAGAAATTAGTGTGTTTGACAAAATGGCAGCGGTTTCATGTCGAATGAGAATCATTTATGCATAGCGAAAGTTGAGGCGAGATAGGCACGGTTGAGGTAGGCTAGGATCCGTTGGTTTATTAAATCTTTTTGTTTAAAGCTCTGAATGTGGTAAACCCCAATATTTCGGTAAGCTACTATAAATGCCTTAGAATATAAGCTATTCATGATACTAATGTTTGTATTGTTTTTCATAAATAGTACATTTCATGTACTTTATTTCAACTGTCTCCATTAATACGTTGTATTTCTGATTTCAATATATGACATATTAGCATATACCTCTTTAAAATATTGAATTGTCTTTGTCATATTGTGCTATTATACATTTCGCTTTGGTATAAGCGAAGCAGAATATTAAGATGATAAGCACAGAAAAATAAATTTGCAACTACCTAGTAAGTAACTGCAGAACTAAATTGTCAAACACAACTTCATCTATTTATTGATATTTGCTGTATATTATTTTCTTTAAAGCCAAACGGCAAGACCATAATTTATAGACCAGCACAATCAGATTTAAGATAGTAGATCTTGGATTTTGAAGCGAAATTCATTCATTCGGCTGAATACTATTTTGGCATTACAGCTGGTATCGGTTCGTGATGAAAACAATAAACCCAATTCTTAACCCTAATATTCAACTGTTAATCCTAATCCTAGTACCTCACACTAATATATAATCCAAGGTCATTCTAGCGTTGCTCAAAGGTCGTCCAGAAACTGTCGTTTCACCAGCCAAATGATTTCAACTTGGACCATCTTATTAACTCATCTTAATTTTGTTAGTCGAAAATTCTGTATACAAGGATAATACCTGGTCGGTATAGACAGTTTATATGTGAGTAATCAGGTACAATAAGTGAAAAATAAATGGTCATGGGAACCCACTTACTATAATTAAGTCTTTTATTACATCTAATTAGTTGGTGGATAAGTATATCACAAGAATAAAAAAGCACATCCCATGCTAAATGCACAAGAACGCACAAATATCACATGAAGGTTCATCGGTTCAGTATGTTACGCTTTGAGATAACAAAGACATGAGTTTTATCTACCGAAATATTAATCCTAAAATACTAAATTTACGACAGTTTCAGTGGTAAAAAATGGAAAAATTGAGGGTCCTAAATTTATCTCACGACCACATATAGCCAAATTTTGATGAGTATTTATGTTCACATGCAAACCCAAACTCAGAACATATTGTTTTAAATCAGTTTGTTATTCTATAATCTACTGATGTTAAAGTTATTATAAAACAACGTTATAAACTCAATTCACAGTTTTACCAGAATCCAGTTTGTAAGTAATCTGTGGTTTATGTCTACGAGCAAGTTGTATGAACAGCGCAATAGGTAGTACGTTACTTCAAAACCCAACCCACCCCAAATTTGGTTTACCTAACGCGTAGTGTATTGATAATCATATCAGATATGACCAAGTCTAGTACAAGAAACCTCTATTTGGTGACTCATCCACGTAATAAGGAGCATGATAAATAAAATCACTGAGTGTATGCCAGTACCAAAATCTGTTTAATTTTCCCTTCTGTAATTAGTTTTTGAGAGCATTTGAAACTAAAATAAGACTTTCGACTGTTGATTAGATGCCACGGATATCTATAAGAAACAATGTTACATAAACTTGCCTAAAGACAAGCCTAGAACCAATCACTTTAAATGTATGAATGAATCTCCATTTTACACAAATTCGGATTAATAACGAAGTAAACATTTTTGACAGGAAAAATGGTAAATGAATAAACGCGTTTAAAAACATAGGAAGCAAAAATTCGATCAAGTAATCAGAAAGTCACATTCGTTGGCACTTTTCTCATAGGTTATATCATTCTAGACATATATATTGCATAAATGCTAATAATACTATTAAAACGTCCAAACTGTCGTGGATAGGATGACTTTTAGGACAAATATGAAATACTTGAGTGCTAATAGCTTAAGCTATTTTAACCAGTGTCTAGAGAGCAATATAATACCAGTAAACATGATTCAAAGTAACTAATAAAACAAATTGTACAACCAATGTTACAATTTATACTAGATGGAAAAATCCACTTCACTAACAGCTTAATATGTAATAACAGACCATGTCTCAGTGTTTTGTGTGCACTTCCAAATATACTTTGGTGTGCACACAGCAAACTTTTTTGACACAACTTGGTTAGCACATAGGACTAGGCAGTATGAATTGGTTAATATCTAATGATAAGCTGGTGTAACAATTTGGAACTGGAACCAACTCACGACATTTTAACGAAATCTATCGACTAAAATCACAATTAGAACAATTCAAAACATACGTTAAAAATAACAGAACCATTCAGATATTAATTTAAAACTACTTACTTTTACATTTATTTCCAAATAGAAGCCCATGACCACCGATTTGGTTAGGATAATTGATCAGATCTGACGGCAACAAAGAACTACTTTCAAACAGATAATTCAACTTGTTAGTTTCATCATTCGTGGAATCCCATTTCTGGTTGACAATCATTTAACTTTGTAGCATTACTAGCAACAAATATTAGTTATTAAGTGGGTACTCTCGGCAAAAAATTACCACCTATTTAAAAAAGTCACTAGCTAAGGACTTCATTGATATTATAAAAGCTAATCGAGACAGTTACGGACAAAATAACAGCCAAAATATGTAGACGACAGATTATGGTCTGACCTGTGAACAGAAGTGCCTATTATTTAGTCTGCGTTATAGGTATCAAAAACCAGTAGTTGGAAGCTCTAGTTAAGTTGGTTGAATAGTTGGACACCATTTTAGTCATTTAATACTTACACCCTATTAGCTTGCATACCTTCTGTTCATCCTAACTTACTTCTTTAATAATTTTTTTCTCTGTAGTGTTAGTAAGCTTTACAACCTAAACCTAAGCACGTTTGTGAGAGGTTGAATGTTGTGCTGATTATCGTTGGAAGCTAAATGCAACAGGATTGTGATGCAAATAAATAACTTCTACGATCCATATCATTACACAATATTTGGAGTTGTGCTGCGTAAATTAATGGACTATAAAGATCTAGGAGTGGCGAGACTATAATTTATTAGTCATAACAAGCAACAACCTCAAACCTACGAGTAACTGCAAGGCCGCTTCTACCAAAGGCTCCAGGGTCATACAGGCTATTTTTAAGTCATTGCATTACTTGGACGGAAAAAGGTTTAGGGTATTACAATTGACTTTTGTGAGACCACATTCGGAATATGGAATTCAAGCAGCGAGTACTTTTCCAATTATGAGGCGGATATGCTGGAACGAGTTTAGCGGCGAGGTATCAAGACGGCAGGTCTCTCTGGCCCATCTTAGGAAGACAGACCGAGACGCCTCAACTTATTTCCATTATCTTATACAGGTCATTTGTGACCTAATACTACCTCAGTGTAAACACAGTGATGACTTTGGTATTGATGTCGTATCTTTTTCTTTCATCTGGGATTGATCATCTGAGAGGACATTCTAAGAAGGCTAGAAAACCGATATCGAATCGCTTACGTCTGGAGTTCCGTTTCTAAGACCGAGTAGTGAATTCTCTAAAATGACGTGCAATATTATCACCTCCTATAAACACATTCAAAGCGAGATTGGATCTCCGCAATACTACAAATTCCAGTGATTAATATAGGTCGATTGACCTCCTATCCTTCCTATTGAAGACTGAGAAATTGATACGAGCCTGAACTAAAGACAATTTGACAGTCGTAACTAGAAGTTGGTAGCATCAGATTTTGTTTTCATCAAAAGTGTAGAAGTTTGCGTTTAGCCCAAATGTACTTTTTTGATGGGAATGGGCGTATGGAGCATCGTGTGTGAAGCTGGAAATTTCCAAGAGAAAAATAAAAGACGTCCGTGAGCCGACGGGTCAGTGTGGGCATGGGATGTACTTATATCTATCAGCAAAGAAAGTCGATAAGAATTGCCAATATCGCAGGAGTCAAGCTAAAAGAATTCGATAACCAAGAATACAAGTGCTAACATGGGGACTCCTACCCAAAACAGGAGATCTCAAAACTTGCGCAGTATCTTTGTTTAGTGTTCCAAGACAGTCAGCAGGTTCAAACAAAAATGAGCCCTAGTATCAAGATTAAGTGTGTTGACCCTTGAAATGCTGTCTCTATAAGACCCACTTTTCCCCAAAAAGCTAGAAATGTGATAAAACCCGAGACTAAACTGGGAGCACACCACTTTTGACTTTTCATCAAAATAGCGTTTCATCACCCAATCGAATGTTGTATTGCATTTACTTTTCCATGATTTCTATACCAAACATGTCAAATTCTCCGATCCAATATACATTAATTTGACAGGAGAATCACTATATTCATCTGTACTCTTAACCAACTTGTTAAAAACGCCTGGAAACCAATTGCTTTCTCCTCAAAAAGACTCACTCCAGCAAAAACAAAATATTTTACTTTCGGGCGAGAACTTCTTGCAATCTACTTGACCATTCAGCACTACCAACACATGTTAGAAGGCAGGGAATTCATAGTTGTTACGGATAACAAACCACTGACCAATGCACTAAGAGCTAGAGTCGATAAATACTCACCTTGATAAGTCCAACACCTCGACTATATATCACAGTTCACAAGTGATAATCTTCTTGTCAAATGTCAGGAAGATCAGGCGGCAGATGCATTATCTTGACTAGAAATGACTATGATACAACAGTCTGCAGTAAATTTCGAGACGTTGAAGGACAGACAAGAATAGGATCAAGAATTACGAAACCTGCTTACAACAAACAAGTCTAGCCTCAAACTAAAGCAGTTACCATCGCCTATTGACGGTATTCTAAATAAAGACCTATTCACCGCTAGTCTGGTTTCTTCTATCAATAGCACGAGGGTTACCTACAGGCACGAAAGATTAATTTAGACTTAATCAACGTGCAAATTTTATCATTTATGTCTGCACCAAATTAATTACATTTGTGCAATTCTTTTTATTTATCGTATAAAGTTTGTATAAATTATTTTATTCATTTATGTGGATGTGTTTGCCATACCAAATGTAGTTTAACATATTACGCTCACTTCTCTACTAAAATCTTGTTCTCGCCATAGTTGCCGTTATTCCACTCGATTTCTGGAACGCCTGTCGATGTTTTAGACATCGTTCTGTTCTACTCTGTCACTGCATTCATAGGTATCTTTTGTGGATCACCAACGTAAATAACCTATGTAAATGATTGGGGGCCAATTCAAGCTGTTCAAGAACGCTGTGTCCTCCTAACTAATGTCGTAGTCGGACGCTTGTCATACGCAGATAAGACTTTGTGCAACTTTTTCATTCATGATTTTCTCATCATTGACTAGTTATTTAGTACGTTCATCTACATTAGTATGATTTTTATTGGGATAACTGTACTTTTGGTCCAACAATAATTTGACTTAGGCAACCATCTTAGCATGAAATATGTTTTTACAAGCGTTTTCCAGTTATATCAACAGCTTATCCTTTACGAATTGTGTGTATGACCATCCTTTGAATATCGCTCATTCATCTTCTCAAAAATGAATACCACAGATGAGATAAGAGTTTAAGATGTCCTAAGACACTTCACAAGCCAACTGCTAGGATGTGACTTCACAGATAGATGTAGGTACCTTGTTAAGTTTGCTACCTGATTAACGTCTTATACGGTATATAACTACGAAAATCAAACGCATAGAACCTCACAGCCGCAAATCAGAAGGCAGACGAAGACTGGAGAAGCGCTAATTGCGTTAGAATCAAAAATTACAGAAAGTCATAGGTATTTATAAACGTTAGCTTTTGTTATACCAACATTATGATTCCGCCAATCCACAAGGAGGCATGTTATGCAAATCTAATGAGTGCCTGAACAGGTCACATACATATGTGCAGATGGCTTCTACACACCGTTTCAGGATTATAGGTCAGTTGGTGTAACATCCTGGCAATTTTCCTGGGCTCAAGGATTATGGTCGCTGTAATACCAGACTAGGGGTTAGTTAGAAATTTCCCAGATCAACAACTAACAACAGGGTTGAGAGGTGTTCCGAACTGGCAGGCCTGTTGTTTAGTCGGTCTGTGAATTTTACGTTTATGATATCTGCCATCTCTAATTTAGTGAGATTTTTGCCATTTGGCCCTTTAAGAGTTCAGATTCCCTGGTTTCTAGGCTTTCTCCTAGCCATGAATCTGTGGAAATATCTGTAAACTGCTTGCATCCCTGACGTTTAATTGAGTTCACCCTTGACCACCGATCGCTCGTCGCAATGCAACCTCCACAAAGCATACAAACACTTATATTGGAAATCAGTCCTACAAACATAAATGTGAAAGCGCATCCACTGTTTCTATGTCAAGTGTGTCTCATAGCATAACAAGCTAGTTGAGTAACATTTGAATAAAGCTTGGTGCGTTTGTAAGAGTTTGATCTTTCGTGTAAACTGGCATGCCTCATGTAACATTGTTATTTGAGAATGCATTATTATTACGTCTAGCACTTCGGAAAAACTCGTTTAGGCCGAGAAAAAATGACATCCAAACAATAATGATTGGATTATATACATTTTTAAAGTGTCGTAAAGAAGACACAGTATTCAAGTGCACATGTAGTTTTTTGTGGAAGTTATTATAACCTGTTTTGATTATTGGAACTTATAGATTCATGAGTGTAATCCTGTTTAACGTAATTTTCTAGTCTTGCTTGTGGTAGGATTTCTCAGTAAGAAGTGAGACAAATTTACTCAAGTAGTCTCTCGTTGAATAAAGTATTATTGGGTCATGGTCAGAGGAATTTCTGAGAACTAATGTGTGCAACACCATCAATAATTGTGGATATCAAAGGGAAACTCGGAAAAAAATGGTTATTTAGTTGCAATTAAACAGAAATACGAAGCATACAACAAGTGAAAACGAATAAAGCACGGTGTTGGAACTGCGACATGTAAAGTGACAAATTGCAGAGGCTATTTTGGGGTCGAAAATGTGCGGCTTGTGACATTTTCGCTAGGTGACAGCCGGCTATTTACTCACAAACGTAGATGTCTGATGGTCCATGGTGAACCTATTGATTATCTGGAGCAGATAGATCCCCTCATGAAACGTAATCGTACAGTACATAGGACTTCTAGATTTCTCGAGGATATCTTTTATGCTTGGTCGTCAAATTCTGTGCCTAAAGCTGTAATTAACGTTCAGGAGCGTTGTGAGATTAATTGGCACTTAGGAAGAGGCTACAATGCGCCAGAGTTCGCATCATTTTATCTAAAGAATTTCCAATAGCAACTGAAGTACCACAGTGCTCAACCCGTGAATCATGATGCTACTTATTGCTCATTAACAACCTACACAGTACTCTTAGTTCTTCTTAATGAAGATCCACCAACTCCTAAGTAAACGTTTAGATGGTTGAAGTTGTTTTTTCTGGTTAGCGTTTGGTCGTCAATTTTGTTTTTACGAGATTGGGTTGGCCAACTTCCCTCCTTTATCCGGGCTTCGGACCTGTAAGAACCCTTGAAAGGCTACAATCGCAACTCACAACATACGTACCCTTCCAGAATTAATGTGACCGTAGAAACAAAGCTGGTGAACGGGAAAGCTTAATAAAGAAAACATTAATGGAAAGTAGCATGGTTCGGTATTTGAGATATCTCTAAAAATGGCAGCGACGTAGTAACTAGCAATATAGTATTAGTATGTAACCTATAAAAAACGAATTAATCGTTTAAAATAACGAGAACTCAAAAATATTCAGCACAATCACACACCACCATTCTACCATGGAAGAACGAGAAGTTAACTAGTTGCACATAATATAACATAACCAATATAAACAGCATAAAAAATCGTATTTTCGTCGGGTGTAACACTGACAACCACAGCCAAACTGTTGTGATGGTTGGACAACACTGGTTCTTAACCGCACGTATCATGAAGTTGAACACATAAAGTTAGATGTACACTGAACGTTGAGCATTTGACAAAAAGTTTTGTACGTGTAAAGTAGTAAGCAGTGTAACACAGTCCAAGCTTCATGACACAATCGCTTAAAGATTAACAATTTCTGTACTCTGAAACTCTGAATTTAGTAAGAAAATCCTTATTGCTGACTTTCTAGGACCATGCAGCAACAAACTGGAATATTCCAAACGTCTTAACCAAAGTCAGATAGTAAACGATCAGTCAAAAAATTGAGAGTGATTTAGTCCATGTCGAGTCGGTTGGGAGTCACATAAACTTATCAGGATAAAATGGCTTGAATAAAAATTTTCAAGACCATTTTATATGGGTAGGCAAAGTGCATCACACTTAAAACGATCAACTTTCATTAGCACAATATGCACTTAGTAAAATAGCGTTGAAAGACTTTGTGGTTTCTCCAAACAAGTCTGACGAACTAACACAGTCAGATCCGAAATCGTCTGTGTCTGTTTACAACACTCAAAAAAGATATAAATCAGGAGACTAACGTGATCGGCCTTCATTCCATATGTTCTACGACCCGTAAAGTTATCAAAGCACTTAACGAAAACTTTGGTGAGCAAATGAATACCCATTAGGACGGAACAACACATTTTACAGCTCTATTTTTTACTATGGTCAGGAGCAATGTCCAGACAGTATCCGAATTGATGTCGAATGTGTTACCAACTATCCTAAAGTGGATCATTGGTATCATACACCGACCAGTGGATGAACATACAATCGATTCTCATAATCTCTCACAAAAGTGAAAGAGATAGTTCTCTTACTAGTTTTAAACCAATTACATAGAAAGGATTAAAGCTATTACAAACGCGCAGCGTTTTCCACATGTTATTATGCATACTGAGAAGTTTAGTAGACAGCAAAATGAGGGAATTTATTGATAAAAACAAACTATCTCACCATGAATAGAGATAAGCCAGGTCTTGTGAGATAAACATTTTGTTGTTGTGGGACAGTCGAAAAGACCGCTAGGGGTGGGAAGTGCTTATGTATGCACTATTTCATTATCGTGTCAAAGCATTCCACACCGCGTCTCACACATTCCCTCTGGCAAAAATATTGGGAATGT